CTTCTATTCCTGCTTTCTGGAGAGTTTTAATCATAAATGGATGTTGAATTTTGTCAAAGGCTTTTTCTGCATCTATTGAGATAATCATATGGTTTTTATCTTTCAATTTGTTAATGTGGTGTATTACATTGATTGACTTGCGGATATTAAAGAATCCTTGCATTCCTGGGATAAAGCCCACTTGGTCATGATCTTCTCTAGACAGGAAACACTGTTTTCTGTAGAGTAATTTTGTCACCAGTCACCTTTCTGAGCGACCTGTCTTTGTGGTAGCATCTCAAAATGACTCTCTGTGGTTGTCCAGGTCTGCTATCACACCAAAGCCCACATTCTGCCAATTTTCCAGCCTCAACATCCACTGGAACCATGCCTGTGAGGATCGGCCAGGACTTCCTATGTCAGTTCTTAGTCTTCATCTTGGTCAATCTCTTGGGTAGGATTGATGCTGTGGCTCACTCACATCTTCTAGAACAGCTTCCTGTTCTGTCTCTGGGATACTTTCCTAGTTTACTACTCCTCCAGTAGCTGCTTTTCACTACTGTGTTGGCCGAGTCCTCCTCTTCTTCTGGGTCTCTGGAGGTTGGAGGCCCCAGTGTTGAGTCTCAAACCTCTTCCCCACGAACACTCACTCCCAAGGATGAGCTCCCCAGCTCCTCTGGAAAGTAAGAGGCACAGACTTTTGTGTCACCATCATCACATCTTCATGCCTGAAACGGTGCCCTGGCACAGCATATGCACACAACAGTTCTGGGTAAATGAATGAATGAGTGGATACACTTCTCTGGTTGCTTTAAATGCTTCATAGTTAAGTTTTCAAAGGACAAGTAACTCAATATGGTGGCAAGGATAGGCACATGAAAGGAAGTCATAGGAGCTAAGACTGAAAATACTGGTTGGGCTCTAGACAATCTAAAAAAATCTAGCTGGATTTCCTTGGTGGTGCAGTAGATAAGGATCTGCCTGCCAACCTGGGGACATGAGTTCGATCCCTGGTCCGGGAAGATCTTGCATGCCATGGAGCAACTAAGCCCACATGCCACAATTATTGAGCCTGGGATCTAGAGTCTGGGAGCTACAACTCCTGGAGCCCACATGCCCTAGAGCCCGTGCTCTGCAACAAAAGAAACCACCACGATGAGAAGCCTCCACTCTGCAACTAGAGAGCAGCCCCTGCTCACCGCAACTAGAGAAAAGCCTGCACAGCAACGAAGACCCAGCACAGCCAAAATTAAATAAACTATTTCTTGTAAATAAATAAACTATATAGAACTAAAAAGATAAGGAAACCTTTTTTTTTTTAAGTCTTTAATAAAAAGAAATACAATCTAGCTAACAAATACCATGACGCAGAGGGAGAAAGGTGCCACAGTGTACTGGTGGTATGCTAAATTCCTTATCTTTTATAAGGGAACTCAATATACCCTGTTGCTGATATTCATAAATCAAAAATATAAATGTAGGTTTTTTTTTTTTCTATAGAAAGCTATAATATTAACATCTAAAAGAATTAACATCTAAAAGAATTAAGAATGGAAACTGGACCTTGGTTGCTACTGGGAAATGAGATTAGGAGAGATGTTACTTTTCATTTTTGCACCTTAGTCTATGGCCACACAATCCTAAAGGCGTCCAATTTAGTCATTTTATGCACCTTGGTATCATTTGAAATAAAATGAATGTGCATTCACTACTTCTGTGATTAAATTTTAAAAGATCAAGACAGTCAGGCCATGCAGGGCTTTGGATGCCAAGCAAACCGTTCTTTAGCTACAGAGGCTCATGTGACTTGGTGGGTCGGCATCCTGCACAGGCTCACGGCAGGCAGCAAAAGGCTTCAGGACAGCCCTTCCTCACAGGGAGGGGGAGCAAAGAGGGTAGGATGGGTACGGAGGCAGAGATAAGTGATTGGAGTCAGGGCAAATAAAAAACCATCTCGTGAGCTTTCTTGTCTCTCTCATCTCCAGGACCTCTCATTTGCCAGTCCCCCTCCTGCAGGAAATCGCAGGGCCTTTCAGCATCTTGATAAGCCTCCCTGGGTCACCAGGCTGCTCTCCTGCTCCTGCAGGCAGCCACCCATCCGGAGGGTGGCAAAGCATCCTCCGCCGTTTGTCAATCCCAGGAAAGCTCTTTCGTTTCTACTCACCACCTCCAGCAAGAAGAATGGTGTCAAGGTAAGAGTCTGCTCAAGAACTCTCTCTGATCAAAGGCAGATTTGTCTTCTCTTGAGTCCACACTCTCATGAGTTCATGTTGGGGCAGGGCAGGCAGGGGGCGCAGGCACTCGTCAGCAACAGGCAGGAGACAGGACGCTCCCAATGGAAGCTTTGGCTGCTGGTAGCTTGGACTATGGGAGAGCCCAGCAGGGTCAAGCAGGTTCTTTCTGCTTCTGTTCCACTTCCCTATACACTCCTCTTCTCTTCAAATATTCAAATCTGCTTATGAAGACAAATATTTTGTGAATTCTAATTTATGGAGGGAGATGGTATGCGGGCATTGAAAAGCTAAATTGCTGTTGATAACCTCAGGTGTCACTGATTTGCTTGCTAGTCAATGTTATTTTATTTTGTTTGTTTTGTTTCTTGTATCCTTGTATCTGGCCTTGTCCCAGCAGAAAATACAGGACATAATCTAAGATGGTAATTTAGGAGAATTTGGCGCAGGTGGGCACAGCTAAGGGGAATCTCTAAAGGATGTTGGACCCCGACCCTCCCCCACCCCCAACCAAGACCAAGTCTTCATAGGGAACTGTTACTATTGCTGGGCCTGATGGGGAAAAGGAAGAAGTTATCAGAACCCAGGGGGCGCTCTGGCTGGAGCTGTGGTTGTCACTGTGGTTTTAGGCAAGGGCCATCAGACAGGGGCTATGTCCTCAAGTAGCATAACACCGCCAACTGCCAACTCACAGCCTGGAAGGGAGGCAGCCAGGGAGCTCAAAACCCCAATCACTCTCTTCTGCCTCCTCACCCTCCAGCCTCCTGTCAGCGTCGCCCTTTCACTGGAAGCAAACGGGAGGCAGGGGGAGAGGGAGGCCATCAGCTGGGCACTGATGCATCTCCTCCCGGAACGCAGAGACAGGCACAGAGGAAGGAAGGGAGACGACGGCCAACGGTGAAACCCTCTCTCTTCCAAGGCCTCCTCACAGTCCTGGGACTGGGTCAGTTTCTCATTGTATTCCTTAACTAGTTTCTTTGATTGTTGGCTTGCACCTCTATCTATGTCACTTCTTTGGAATAATCTCTCACCATCATCAGAGATGGGCTTCCCAGGGGGCGCTATCAGTAAGGAATTTACCTGCCAATGCAGGAGACACGAGACACGGGTTTGATCCCTGGGTCAGGAAGGAGGGCACAGCAACCCACTCCAGGATTCTTGCCTGGAAAATTCCATGGACAGAGGAGCCTGGCAGGTTACAATCCACAGGGTCACAAACAGTCAGACATGAGTAAGTGACTTAGCATGCACACATCATCAGAAATGCCTTGAGAATGTATTCATTGGGTTTTAATTTTGACATAAGGGTACCCAGGTACTTAAAAGTATTGAGTTGACCAAAACATTCATTCAGGTTTTCCATACCATCTTATGGGAAAACTTTCAACGAAACTTTTGGCCAACCCAATATTTTCAGTTTGCGATTTTGGTTTCTCTGGAGAAAAATCCATAATAAGAGTGACTTAAACTGTGTCCACCACACAGAGCTAGGCTCTGGGCACATACCAATGCATGGAGAAAAGCATCATCTGTCCTTATAAAGCTCACATATGGGGCCATTTCTAGCTCAAGAGGCCTCCTGACCCACTCGCACCTGTCATAGCAAGAGCTCTTCATGACCCTAAATCATGATCTCCTTACTTCCTAGGGGGTGCATTCCTCTTAGTCACAAAGACGGCCCCACAGCATGACCTCCTGGCCCTAGAAGGTTATCTCAGTCCCAGGCAGAAGGAATGCTGAGCTTAGAGTCCTTTGGTCACTCTCTCATAATTTGCCCATATTTTTCTCCTCCTGCCTCTCTGAGGACATGACATGGCCCGGGAGGCTGACTGGAGGTGACATTCTTATGTCATTAGAGGGTCATGTTGCAGTAGAGAGAGCCGAGGCAATAGAGTCAGAGAGTTGCTGTTGTTGTTCAATCGCTAAGTTGTGTCCGACTCTTTGCGACCCCATGGACTGCAGCACACCAGGGTTCCCTGCCCTTCACTATCTCCCTGAGTTTGCTCAAACTCATGCCCATTGAGTTGGTGATTGCTATCTAACCAGCTCATCCTCTGCCACCCCTTTCTTCTTTTGCCTTCAACCTTTCCCAGCATCAGGGTCTTTCCAGTGAATCAGTTCTTCACATCAGGGGGCCAAAGTATTGGAGCTTCAGCTTCAGCATCAGTCCTTCCAATAAATATTCAGGGTTGATTTCCTTTAGGATTGACTGGTTTGATCTCCTGCTGTCCAAGAGGCTCTCAAGAGTTTTCTCCAACACCACAGTTCAAAAGCATCAATTTTTTGGCATCAATTCTTTATGGTCCAACTCTCACATCCATATGTGACTACTGGAAAGACCATAGCTTTGAGTATATGGACCTCTGTCAGCAAACTGATGCCTCTGTTTCTTAATATGCTGACTAGGTTGGTCATAGCTTTTTTCCAAGAAGCAAATATCTTTTAGTTTCATGGCTGAAGTCACCATCTGCAGTGATTTTGGAGCCCAAGAAAAGAAAAATCTGTCACTGCTTCCACTTTTTCCCCTTCTGTTTGCCATGAAGTGATGGGGTCAGATGCTATTATCTTAGTTTGTTGAATGCTGAGTTTTAAGTCAGCTTTTTCACTCTCCTTTTTTACCCTCATCAAGAAGTTTTTTAGGTCCTCTTCACCTTCTGCCATTAGAGTGGTATCATTTGCATATCTGAGGTTGTTGATATTTCTCCTGACAGTCTTGATTCTGGCTTATGCTTCATCCAGCCCAGCATTTCACATGATGTACTTTGCTTAAGTTAAACAAGCAAGGTGACAATATTGTACTCCTTTCTCAATTTTAAACCAATCACCTGTTCCATGTCTGGTTCTAATTATTGCTTCTTGACCTGCACACAGGTTTCTCAGGAGGCAGGTAAGGTGGTCTGGTATTCCCATCTCTAAGAATTTTCCACAGTTTGTTGTGATCCACACAGTCAAAGGCTTTCGTGTAGTCAATGAAGTAGAAATAGATGTTTTTCTCAAATTCCCTTGCTTTCTTTATGATCCAGTGAATGTTGGTAATTTGGTCTCTTGTTCCTCTGTGTTTTCTAAACCTTGTACATCTGGAAGTTCTCAGTTATGTACTGTTGAAGCCTAGCTTGAAGGCTTTTGAGCATAACCTTACTAGCATGTGAAATGAGCACAATTATACAGTAGTTTGAACACTCTTTGGCATTGCCCTTCTTTGGGATTGGAATCAAAACTGACATTTTCCAGTCCTGTGGCCCCTGCTGAGTTTTCCAAATTTGCTGGCATATTAAGTGTAGCACTTTAACAGCACCATCTTTTAGGATTTGAAATAGCTCAGCTGGAGTTCCATCACCTCCACTAGCTTTGTTCATAGTGATGCTTCCCAAGCCCCACTTGACTTCACACTCCAGGACGTCTGGCTCTAGGTGAGTGACCACACCAGCATGGTTATCCGGGTCATTAAGGCCTTTTTTGCATAGTTCTTCTGTGTGTTCCTGCCATGTCTTCTGAGTCTCTCCTGCTTCTGTTAGGTCCTTACTGTTTCTGTCCTTTATCATGCCCATTCCTGCATGAAATTTCCCTTGATGACTCTAATTTTCTTGAAGAGATCTGTAATCTCTTCCATCCTATTGTTTTTCTCTGTTTCTTTGCATTTTTCATTTAAGAAGGCCTCCTTATCTCTCCTTTCTATTCTCTGGAATTCTGCATTCAGTTGGGTGTATCTCTCCCTTTCTCTCTTGCCTTTCACTTCTCTCCTTTCCTCAGATACTTGCAAGGCCTTTTCAGACAACCATTTTGCCTTCTTGCATTTCTTTTTCTTTGAGATGGTTTTGGTCACTGCTTCCTGTACATTGTTACGAACCTCTGTCCACAGTTCTTCAGGCACTCAGTCTATCAGATCTGATCCCTTGAATCTATTCATCACCTCCACTGAATAATCATAAGGGATTTTATTTAGGTCATATCTGAATGGTCTAGTGGTTTGCTTTGCTTTCTTTAGTTTAAGCCTGAATTTTGCAATGAAGAGCTCATGATCTAAGCCATAGCTCCAGGTATTGTTTCTGAGTCAGAGAGAAGTGGGTTTAAATATTCCAGGTCCCCAGGGCTGTGTGGACTGCAGTAAGCATCTAAATCTCTGCAAGCCCCCAGTTCCCTCCTCTGTGACAGGGGGACAGTAACTCCCACCTAACAGGGTGGCCGTGAGAATGGATGATCACACCGCAGGTGCTTTCACATCTTTGTGTTCCCAGGAACACCAGCGGAGGGTTTCTGAGCTTGGGTCCAACCACCGCAGCCTGGGAGACGGCATTCACATCCCTGAATCACACTGGCCAGGCCCATCCTCAAACTTTCAACGCGGTGACCGTGACCCTGTACCTGCTGACGGCCGTCATCGCCCTGGGGGGACTGGCGGGAAACGCGGCGGTGCTGTGGCTCCTGGGCTTCCACTCGCGCAGGAACGCCTTCACCGTCTACATCCTCAACCTGGCGGCAGCCGACTTCTTGTGCCTTTGCTGCCAAGTTATCGATTCCGTGGAGGCCCTCATCACCTGCTGCAGCCACAGTTCCAGCCCCGCCTTCCTCGCCACGGTGATGACCTTCGCCTACCTGGCGGGCCTGAGCTTGCTCAGTGCCATTAGCACCGAGCGCTGCGTGTCCGTCCGGTGCCCCGTCTGGTACCGCTGCCACCGCCCCACGCACTTATCAGCCATCGTGTGCGCCGTGCTCTGGGCCCTGGCCCTGCTGCTGAGCACCCTGGAAGGGAAGTACTGTGGCTTACTCTTAACGAGTTTCAGCCGTCTTTGGTGTCGGGTGTTCGATTTCATCGCTGCCGGGTGGCTGATGTTCTTATTTGGGCTCCTGGCGGGGTCCAGCCTGGCCCTGCTGCTCAGGATCCTCCGAAAGTCCCAGCGCACGCAGCTGACCAGGCTCTATGTGACCGTGGTGCTCACAGTGCTGGCCTTCCTGCTCTGCGGCCTGCCCTACGGCATCCTCTGGTTCCTCTTAATCTGGATTCAGGATGACCTGTTTGCCATCCCCTGTCACCACTGCCTGGTCGTCTTTGGTTTGTCCTGCGTCAACAGCTCCGTCAACCCCATCATTTACTTCTTCGTGGGCTCCTTCAGGCAAAGGCAGGCAAAGAAGCGAGGGCGGCGGACCCTCAAGGCGGTGCTGCAGCAGGCCTTGGAGGACATATCAGAACTGGGTGAAAGCGAAAGCTCGCTTCCTCGGGCAACCCTGGGGTCGGGAAGCAGTCTGGTGTCGGGAAGCGGTCTGGTGTCCTGATTCAGGGTCTCTGCCTTGGTCAGACACACCGTGGCTTTGAGCGACAACTTCCTCTCTATCACTTCGGGAGGATTTCTTAGGTTCTCTCAGCCTCTGGACCCACCCTGACTGTAAAACGGTTAAATAAACCATCTGGGTGCTGAGGATTAAGGGAGACAGTGCCTGTCACACAAGCGCTGCATGTTGTCTTCAGGACTGTCTTACCCAGGGGTCTTCACCCCACCCCATGGGAGCTTCACCAACTCTGGGTTCCAGGACTATTTCCACTTATGAAGAATCCCACCTTCAGCAGAAGTTGAACGCAGTGCACGAAAGGTCTTAAGTTTCTTTGGTCACTGCACTTGCTAGGTATTAAACATGACATTTTTGACCAGTTTCTTACAATCTGTTACTTTCTTACAATCAGTATTTATACAAGGAAGAGAATTTAATTTCCATCTAGCCCCAAAGAGTAGTCTTTGATTTTGCCAGGCCTCAGAATGACTCCTAAACTGAATAAATGTTTATTGAACAAATGACTTAATGAATGAAAAAAAAAAGATGAATTTTGAAGTCCAGCCTGTGCTAAATCTCCATTTACCAGATTTGAGCCCCATCTGTAAGTCTATTGCTTTCACCATTTTCAACTTTTTCAAGCATGATGTTTTATAACCAGATAAATCATTAATAAAGCATATCTGAGGTTTGTGATGGGTCATCTTCCTATGGTTTCCTTCTGCATACTTTCCAGTAGAATCCGACATGCACGCCTTCTCACTCCTACTCCTTCATCATTGCCCTGGAGCTCACTGATCCTTCATGCACATTTCCAACATGTCTTACTAGACTCCGTTCTCTGAGAACAGGATCTGTGTCAGATTTACCTTTTATTTCAAAGAACTCACAGCACTAATTTTAGTTAGCTAGTTACACACAAAATATTTTTGTTACTTGTTCTATAAAAATAAAATATTAAGCTTAAATGTTGCATCTTTCAATAGTTTTTAACTGAAGTGTAATCAAGACAGAATGATTGCACAGATCATTAGTGGATACAGTTCAATGAGTTTTGGCAATAAATACACACCCATGTGATTGACATAGACACACTTCAATATATATAAAATAGATAACTAATAAGTACAGGAAACTACTCAATACTCTGCAATGATCTATATGGGAAAAGAATCTAAAAAAGAGGGGCTATACATGCATGCATAACTGATTCACTTTTCTGTACAGCAGAACCTAACACAATATTGTAAATGAACTATACTCTAATAAAAAAAATTTTTTAATAAATAAATATGCACCCATGTAACAAAAAGCTCCCATCAAAACATAACACATTTTCATCACCTCTGAAAGATCCCTCATGTCCCTCCCAGCCATTCCTCCTGCCCCAGGGGCAACCATCATATCTACTTCTGTCACCAAAGATTACTTTTGCCTGAACTTTGACTCATACAATGCACTTTCTTGTTTCTGCCTTCCTTCACTCAGCATAACATTTGGGGGATGTACTTATGCATTGCACATATCAGTAGTTTGTCTCCTTCATTGGATGGGTGTCTACAGTTTATTTTCATGTTGATAGATGTGGAGTATTACACTTTTGACTATTGTGAATAAAGCTGCTGTGAACATCCTTATTCAAATCTTTTCTGGGACATAAGTTTTCATTTCTCTTGGGTAAATAATCTGAACTGAAATTGCTGGGTCTCATGGAGCAACTTTATAGAAACTGTCAAATTCTTCTTAAGTTGTTGTGCTATTTCCCCTCCCCACCAGTGATGTGTGGCAGTTCCAGTTCTTGTGCACGTTTCCTGACAAGCATGGTGCTACCAGTCTTTGGAGTTTCAGCCCTTCGGATGAGTATGAAGTGGTATCTCATTATGTTTTCATTTGCATTTCCCAAATGACTTAAGAAATTGAACATCTTTTCATGTGCTTACTGATTACTTGTTTTTCTTTGAAGTGTCTGTTTACCTTTTGCCCATTTTCATAAAGTATTTCCCTTTTTCAATATTTGTAGGAGCTTCTATGTGCTGAATATGAGTCCTTTGTGAGTTATGCATATTATAAATATTTATCCAGTTGGTGGTTTTGCCTATAATAGATTTTATATTTCAAAGCACATTTAAATTTATAGAAGAATGTTGCAGAAAGCAAAGGGGGTTCCCACATACTCCCTCCCCCCACCCCACTCCCCTGCACAGTGTCTCCTATTACCAACATTTTCCATTAATGAGGCACATTTATTGAAACTGATGAGCCAATAGTATTAACTGAATTCCATAGTTTACATTAGAGTTCAATCTTTGTGTTATAAAGTTCAACGGGTTTGACAAATGCAGAATATCATGCATCTACCATTTTAGTATCATACAGAATGCCTTTTCAGTCTCCAAAATGAATACATAGAACATTTATCACAGCTATTTTAAATTCTCATTCTGACAATTCCTCGTATCTCAGCCAGGTTCTAAATTCTTATATAGAGAATCTTATATGGGGTATCATATGTGGAATCAATTGATTCTATTGTTAATAATGATAAATTAAACATTAGAAATATAAGTTTACTCTTCAAATGTATAACCATTACTGCGAGACAGGAGAAGGATTGAACCAAATGTTGAGTGACATTTCATGAGGGGTCATGACTCAGAAAACTCCACACTCTCATTTGCCAGCAGGTCCCTATATAGGAAATCACAGGATGGTGCAGCATCCTTGATAAGTCTCACTTGGGTACCAGGCTTCACCCTTCCTCCTGCTGGCACCTCGCCAAGGCAGAGAAGCATCCTCTAGAGACTGTCAGTCCCATGAGACTTCTCTCATCAGCACAGGCCAGCTTGGCAATTACAGCAAGAATAACAGAGGAAAGGTACATTTATCGAGTATTTATTTCCAGAGTCACTGTTGGGTTTTTCGTCTTAGTGCCCATTCACATAACTCTACCTGGGGTGGAGTATTCAGGAAGCCACAGGGCGGGTGGGGTCAACAGCAAAGGGCAGGAGACAGGAAGCCTCCTTCTGGCAACTTTGGAGACTGTTAGCCTTGACCTTGAAGATCTGAACTGATGAATCAATACAGTTCCCCTTGATGAATCAAGACCTCATCCCCATTCTCCTCTCCTTTTCAACCACTCAAATGTGCTATCATCATGAGAAATCTGCTTCTGTCCTTAATTCAGGGAGCAAGATAGAGCATATGCATGCATCCCAAAACTAAAGTTATGAGGAAAATCCAGGCATTTGTTTCACTTCCTTTCAAATGTGCTTTTCCTTTCTGTAGCTCCTGGGCTTTCAGCAGACAATAGATGGCCTAATATGTGATGGTTAAAAAGAGTTTAATTAAGGGACAGTTTACTTACCTGAATAGGTTAGAGAAACTTACATGGGACGTTGACCTTTTTCCACTGGGGAAAGTAATAGGCTTGAAATAGGCTTTTACTATCCTTGAAAGACAAGGGAAGAAGAAGTTACCAGAACTCAGGGAGGGCTCGAGCTATAGCTGTCATTGTGACTGTCTGAAAGGGCCACCAGACAAGGGCTCCATCCCTGAAAGTAGAGTTACATCACCACTGCCGACTCCGCCTGGCAAGAGAAAGCCAGGATGCTAAAAAAAAATCCCCAGATTGTTTTCCTTCTTCCCTCCAATCATATGTCAATGTCTCCCTTTCACTGAAAGCATCCAGGAGCCAGAAGGAGAGGGAGGCCATCATGAAACACAGAGATGTCTTCTCCCAGGACAGAGAGAAGGGCACAAAAGATGGAAATGAGATTTGATGACAAGTCTTACAGCCTCCTCACAGTTGCTATTTCCTGGAACCTTCTCTATCTCAGCATGATTAGATCAATCTCTCAATGTATCTCACACGGTTTGTTTCTTTGACTGCTTCCCTGTTTTCATCCCTATCTGGTATCACTTCTTTAGAATAATCTCTCACTATCATCATGAACTCCTTAAGCACGAAATGCAGATTTTTTTTTAAAAGGATTTTTAAAGTATTTTAAGTTTGTGATTTGGGCTTCTCTAGAAAGAAAGTCATTATAAAAGTGACTCAGGGACTTCCCTGGTGGTCTAGTGGTTAAGACTCTGAACTTCCAATACAGGGACATGGGTTCAATCCCTGGTCTGGGAATTATGATACTGCATGCCACACACTGCAGCAAAAAAAAAAAAGAGTGACTTAAACAAGAAAGAAGTTACTATTAATAGGACTAGACTGATGCTTTCGAGGTGTTAGATACCTTTTAAATTACTGCTCCCCATCCCTAGAGAGATGACTTCATCCTTGAGGTTCTGAATGGCTCCCGGACACATGAGCATTCCATCCAGAGAAGAGGAGGAAGAAATGCATAACCCAGGAGTTGGTTACATCACTTCTGCTCACCTCCCACTGGCAAATGTCTAATCACATCTTGCCATACAGCATTAAGGGAGGCTGGGACAAGGATCCTTTTTCTTGCCTAAAACTCTCAGAATTATATGATAGAAGTAATGGATATTTGGAGCAACTATCAGTTTCTGCACCTCTGAATCTCTCACATGGCAAGCTCACATTAAGATTTTTCTTGGGGCTCCTTCCATAATAAATGATGTGGTGGAGAAGAGTGGGAAAGCCTCAGGGCAGGGTTTGAGGAGCCCAGAACTGGCACTGGGGCTGCTATTCATGATGTCATCTCAGAGAAACCCTTTGACTCTTGAAGCCTTGGCTTTGTCCTCTGTTAAGTGGGGGCATTACAATACATAGTCTCTAAGGGACATGTGCTACATGCTGGGGATACATTAGTGAACAATAATAACCAAAAAAGCCCAGACATGCCTAAGCATTATTTAGCTTTGATGACAGGGAGACAAAAGAAACCAAAAGATATACATTTAAAAGTTAGAACTGCAACCTACCTGTTCAGTGCCATGAATAAAAAGCACATGGTGAAGAGCGGACAAGATGGCAAAGTAGAAAGACCCTGAGTTCACTTCCTCTCACAAGTACACCAAAAGTACAACTGTCTGCAGAACAACCATCAAAGAAAACAACTGGAACCTACCAGAAAAGATCTTCTACCACTAAAGACATAAAGAAGCGACCACAATGAGATGTGTAGGATGGGTAGACTCATGATCTAACCTAATCCCATGGTGAGTGACCCGCAAACTGAAGAATAATTATATTGCAGAAGTTCTCACACAGGAGTGAGAGTTCTGAGCCCATGTCAGGCTCCCCAGTTTGGGGGTCTGGCATTGGAAAGACAGGTCTTCAGAGTCTTTGGCTTTGACGGCCAGCAGGGCTTAATTGCAGGCTTAACTGTTTTCAATAGTCAAGACATGGAAGCAACCTAAATGTCCATTGACAGATGAGTGGATAAAGAAGATAAAGTACATATATACAATAGAATATCACTTGGCCATTAAAAAGAATGAAATAATGCCACCTACAGCCACATGGAG